ACCCGGCTCCGGGACCTCGGGTCGGCCTGCGCCTCGCAGCTGATCCGACCGCAGCCGGGGCGAGCTATCCCCGCCTCTGCCTCAGCCTCCTGCAGCCCTCGAGGCTGCACTGTCAGCCACGTGTTTTCTATTTCCCGCTGATTTTTTTTACTGTTGCTTTTCGAAAGTCAGAAGACTTTGCCAAAGGTTTGGTATTGGAACTGTTTTTAAGAGTTGTTTTGTTTCGTTTTTAGAAGCTGGGCATGTCTCAAAAAAGGGCTGGGGATGTAGCTCAGTATGGAGAATCTGGGTTCAATCTACAATACAAAAACAAACCCAAAAGCCCCCAAAATGAAACAACAACAAAAACTTTTAGAGTTCATCGTTTGCTCAGATGTTTGTTTGTTTGTACTGGGGATCAACTTGGGTCCTTGCTCTTGCGAGGCAGGTAGTGGAACAACTGAGCTGTACCACTGAGCTACATTTCTGGCTCCCTATTCTCATTCTTTTTCTTTATTTTATATAATTGCTTTGGCTAATGTGTCCAGAACTATGATGAATGACAGTTATTTTATTTTATTCTTGTCTTATTCCTGATTTTAGGGTGAAAGCTTTCAGTTTTTGTTCATTTAGTATGATGTTGACTGTTGGTTTGTCATAGATAGCTTTTATCATATTGAGATATAGACCATCTATTCCAGTTTTCTGTGGGGTTTTTATCATGAATGGTTATTAGACCTTGTCAAACGCTTTTTCGTCATCTGTTGAGAGGATCATGTAGTTTTTGTCCTTGGCTCTGTTAATATAGTGTATTACATTTATTGATTTGCATATGTTGAGCCATCTCTAATCCCTGGGATGAATCCTGCTTTGTCAGGGTATATAACCTTTATGATTTGCTGCATACTGCTTGCCAATATCTTAATGAGGATTTTTGCCTCTATGTTCATTAGGGAGATTGGCCTGTGGTAATAATGCTTGCTTCCAGGAATTAATTTGGAAGTATTTCTTCCCTTTCAATTTCATTGAAGAGTTTGAGAAGTCTACTCTAAATTTGAGTAAGAGTTTAAGAAGGTCTGCTCTACATTTCTAATTCAGTGGTGAATCCATCAGAGCCTGGACTTTTCTTTGTTGGTAGGTTTTTCATTACATCTTCAATTTCTTTGAATGATATTGGTTATTTCAAATTTTAATTTCTTGATTCAGTGTTGCTAATTCATATGTATCTAGGAATTTGTCCATTTCTTCTGTATTTTCCATACTTATTAGAATGTAGGTTCTTGAAGCAGATATTGATGATCTGGATTTGTTGTGATTTTACACTTTTCATTCCTAATTGCATGATTTGAATCTTTCCTTTTATTTATTTATTTTTGATAAGGTTAGCTAAGGTTTGTCAATTTTATTCAATTTTTCAAAGAACCAACTCTTTATTGATTCTTTGTATTGTTTTCTTAGTCTCCACTGCAATAATATCTGCTCTGATTTTTATAATTTCTTTCTTGTACAAGCTTTGAGTTTGAGTTGCTCTTTTTCTAGAAGCTTGAGGTTCAACATTAGGCTGTTTATTTGAGCTTGCTGTTTTCCTGATATGAGTATTTACTGCTGTAAATTTCCCTCGTAGAATTGCTTTCATTGTGTCTCATAATTTCTGGTATGTTACATTGGCATTATCATTTAATTGTAGAAACAGATTTCTTCTTTAATTTCATCTGTGACCTATCGGTTGTTCAGGAGGGTGCTGTTTAATTCCATGTGATTATGAAATTCTTGTGGTTTGTTTTGCCATTGATTTCCAGTTTCATTGCACTGTGGTCTGATAATATGTATGGAGTAATTTCAATTCCTTTGCATTTACTTAGGCATGTTCTATGTGGTCTATTTTATAGAATGTCCCATGTGCTGCTGAGAAGAATATGTATTCTAGTGTGTAGGGTAGAACACTCTGTAGACATCTACCAACTCCATTTGTTCAAAAGTTTGATTCAGTTCTGATATTTCATTGTTGATTTTTTTTTTTCAGTACAGGGAATCGAACTCAAGACCTTGCACTTGCCCCCAGGTATGGCACCACTGAGCTACATCCCAGGCCTTCATTGTTGATTTTTTTGTCTAGTTGATCTGTGTGATAGTGGGGTATTGAAGTCCCCCATTATAATTGTATTAGTGCTTATTTGATTTTTTTATGTCTGCTAATATTTTGGCTTTCTTTCTTTCTTCCTTTTTGTTTGTTTGTTTGGTTTTTTGAGAAAAGTTCTCCTTATGTAGTTCAGGCTGGTCTTGAACTCACAGCAATCTTCCTGCTCAGCCTCCCAAATGCTGGGATTGTTTTAAATAGTTGGGTACCCTGGTATTTGGTGCATATGTATTTATGATTGTTCTGTCTCCCTCTTGGATTGTTCCCTTTACAAGGATATAGTGACCTTTGTCTCTCTTAATCAATTTTGGCTTGAAGTCCACTTTGTCTGCAAATAGAATAAGTATTCCTGCTTTTTTTTTTTTTGCTTAAAACAACTTACTATTTTAACAGTTACGGAGGTCAGAACCCCTGCTTTTTTCTGGGTTCCTGGCACACGGAATATTGTTTTCCATCCTTTGACTTTCAGTGTATGAAATTATTATTATTATTTTTGGTACTGGGGATCAAACTTGGGACCTTGCGCTTGCAAGGCAGGTGGTGGAACCATTGAGCTAAATCCTTGGCCCTGTATGAAATTATTTTTGAATTAAATGTGTTTCTTGTGTGCAGCACATTGTTGGATCTTACTTGTTGATCTGTTCAGCCAGTCTGTTTCTTTTGATTGGTGAATTGAGACCATTAGCATTGATGATTATAACTGATACGTATTGACTTATCCCCATCATGTTATTTTCCTGTTGTTTGCTCCCTTCCTTCTTCCTCTGTTTAATTTCTTGTCTTTCCATTTGGGTTTATTCAGTTGAAATTCATGGAGTCGAAATTCTTGTTATCTCTTTGTAGAATATTCTTGGTTTTTTTTTGTTTTTTCTTGGTACTGGGGATCGAACTCGGCTCCTTGTGCTTGTGAGGCAGGCCACCGAACTGCTGAGCTAAATCCCCAGCCCTTTGTAGATTATTCTTCAGTGCACTTTGGAGTGCTCGTTCGGTGTTCATGAATTTCCTCAGGTCTTCTTTGTCATGGAAGTATCTTTTATCACTATCAATTTTGAAAGATAGTTTTTCTGGGTACATCGATCTGGGTTGGGAGGTTTTTCATTAGGACTTGAAATACTTCATTCCAGACTCTCCTTGACCTGACGGTTTATATTGAGAATTCTCCTGTGATTTTGATGAACTTTCTTTTGTGGGTGATATGTTTCTTTTCTCTAATAGCTTTTAAAATTCTGTTCTTATGTTGAATTAATAGAATTATGACTATTATATGTGTTGAAGATTTTCTTTTACTATGACTAATTGGAGTTCTATATACTTCACTTATCTGTATGTCAGATCTTTTTTGCCTATGTGGGAAGTTTTCTGTCATTATTTCTGTGAACAGGTATTTTATGTTGTTTAGGTTATCTCCTGCTTTTCCATGCACTCTGATCAATCTTTTCTTATTCTTCGTGTCATCTAGTAGCTGCTGGGTTGATTTTTTATGGTTCCTTGATATTTTAATGAAATCTTTCTTTTCATGATCATTAACCACAATTCTGTCTTCTATGCCTGATATTCTGACCTCACATTGGCTCATTCTGCTGCACATACTTTCAGTGAAATTTTAAATCTCCTGGCTGGCTGTTTTAATCTGTCTCATGGGTTCCATTTCTTTTCTATACTGGGTGTTCATGATTTCCATCATTTTCCTGAGCTCCTTTTTTTTTTTTTTTTTTTTTTTGGTACCAGTGATTGAACTCAGGTCCTTGGGCTTGCAAGGCAGGCACAGTGCCATTGAGCTAAATCTCTGGCTCTTTTTTTTTTTATTTTTTTAATTAACTCTGTATGTATCTGTACTAGAGTCACTGAACATGTCTTTCATTCCAGTAACCATCTCTGTAGTTATCTGAAAAATTATTTCTGTGGATTTTTTTCTAGAGCCTGGTTTATCTACTGTGTTCCTTCTGCTATTACCATTTCAGAGTCCATCTAGGTGGCTTTTGGATTGTTCTACCTCATTAATGTCTGGTGTTTCCTTTGGTGAGATGAAAGTCTGGGGGTTGCATCTGAAGTGTCTTCCCATTTTCTATTTAGTTTTATTTCTGGGTTGATGCTTATAAATTGCTTATGGTGAGTAGCTTTATTGCCAGTATTCAGAACCCTTAGGAAATGACTACTTGCTTTTGGGTTTTGAGTCTGTTGCAAGATCCTACCTCTTCATTTTATTAGGGATGAGAAGTTTCATCCTGCTTGGCCCAGTGCCTGGTACTTTGGCACTGGCCTATAGTACTTTTTCAGACTCTCAGGTAATCTCAGTCTTGGTATACTAGGAGGAACAACTGTACAATTATGTCACTTTAGCCATAAAGTACAATCAGCCATAACAGTAGCATCAAACACAGCCTAGAAAATGACAAATTTTGGTAACTATTGATTTTCTACCTTTAATAATATGATTTGTGGTTATATAACAAAAATCTAAAATGAACGAGTATATAGTAAATAAGCTCTCAGTGTGATGATTTTACACTTAGGGGAGTAAATTTAAAAGGGGTTGGGGAAAATTAGAAGTAGGACTGGATGACAAAGGAAGATCTTCCAAACTTTGGGAAACTGGTGAAGAAGATAGTACAGAAAGAGAGAAAAAAGTAATAAAAACAGGAAAAGAATAGAACAACAACAAAAAATTAGAAACTGTGTTCTCACTCAATGCAAAAATAAGATAAAACAGAACAAGAACATAAACCAAGGAAAGAGAAAGAGAAAAACAATTAGTAATTAAAAAGAAGGTCCAATTTAAGGTGTGGTTCCCCTGTCATTGGTAGACAACTCAGGCAGTCTAGATCAGAGTTGATTAATCCCAGCAAGCCAGCTGTAGCTTTAGGGTGGGATAATGGGTAATCCCAGCAAGCTTGCACCTTTAGTTCATCTGAAGTTCAGGCTGGTTTCTGGCTGTGAGGCTGGAACTAGATTTGTTGAGTGTGCAACAATCCAGGTGCCTCCTGACAGTTTGAATCTCCACTCTCAGGCCTCCTGCAATTTGAACTCAGAACCATTACTGCAACACCTGGAGCCACTAAGTGGAGTTGCCCTGCAGCTGTTCTGAGTTCTGAGCTCAGTTGGCCCCTCTCCCAAATAGCTACAGGCCAATCACCTTCTCCTGGGGAATATCTGATCCCCAAATAACTCACCAGCCACTGTGTCCACAGCTCTGTTCCACTGGTGTTTCTCTGTGGAGGCCTCTGGGGTTGCCAGTAGTCACCATGAAACTAGGTCTGACCCACCCTTCCCATGCTGTAAGTCCAGACTCTGGCACAAAGTGCTGCCTGCCAACCCCCCCTCCCCCTGCCTTTTTATTGAATTTATTGGTACATTCTAGGTATACAGTACAGTTACATTCATTATTAGGATCTTATACCTTTACATGACAGGTCTTCATTCTCATTTTTTCCTCTTGTCCCTGCCCTCCCTTCACCCCCTCCTCCCCTTCCCATTTACAAACACTTTATTTCCATTTTTTCATTTTCTCATATTTTTTTCCCTCCTTTTCATTGAAGTCTCTCTCTTTGCTCTCCCAGTAGACTTCAGTTTTCCCTTCAGATCCTTCCTGACTCCTGGGGGAACCCACTTTCCTTCTTCTTCTCCTCATGCCACTATATTCCACTGTCTGGACAACAAATCTTGGAGAAGCTCTTTCTGTGCTGCCCCACCACTCTGCCATCTTTCTGGAAGTCTTTTTTTCTTTAACTTAGAAAGGAATAAACATTAAGTAGTAACAGCTGGGTTTATATTCCCCTTTAGAGCAGTAGTTCTCCATCTATAGTATGCATAAAATTTACCTGAGCAACTTGTTATCATGTAGTGTGTTATTATTCCTTGCTCCTTGCTCCTCATCAACAGATCAGAATTAACTGGGCCCTCTTCCATCCTCCATAATTTTGACATAGGCAGCTTGCTTTATTTATTTATATATTTATTTAGAGGCAGGGTATCACTATGTAGTTGAGACTGATCTGGAACTCATTATGTAGCCCAAGCTGGTCTCAAACTCACAGCAATCCTCTTGCCTCATCTTCCTGAGTGCTGGCATTATTCTTTTTGTTTATTTGTTTGTTTCTTTGTTTTGGTACTTGGGTCCCGTGCTTGCAAGGCAGGTGGTGGAACCACTGAGTTAAATCCCCAGCCCCTTTTGTCTATTTCTTGAGACAGGATCTTGCTATGTAGTTCAGGTTGGCTTCAAACTCACAGCAGTCCTCCTAGCTCAGCCTTCTGAGCATGTGATTATGGGCATGTGTTACCACCCTTACTCCTATTCAGAACCTTTAATCCTATAGAATGAACTCTTGGTAGATCACAGAGAAAATGGTAATATCAGCCATTGCCTTGTTTTGGGCTCCTTAATGGGTATAAATTGAGCTGTTTGAAGCTAGCTCTCCAAGGTTGGTGGCCTTTCTTTCAACTTTTTTTCTTTTTTCTTCAACTTTAAGTAGCCCTTATTTTGTTTTTAGAGTATTTTGGAACTGCTAGGTTACCAATGTCCGTGGTCTTAGTGAGCAGAAACATCTCACCCTCCTATATCGTATTACGTCTTCCTGCCAAGAGGTTAAATTCACCGAACTTTTTTTCTTGCTTTATGCCAAAGTCCCTGATGAATCCTCATGAAAGATCAAACTTAAACAAAGTAGACTTAAATTTTATTGTGCGTGTTTTTTTTTCTTATTGTCCAAATTTACTATGATCTGGGTAGTATTGCTTTTGTAGCTAGTAGAGGGATAATTAAACCAACATTAAGGTGCAAGAGGGAAAGCTGGGTGTGGTGGTGCATGCCACTTGGGAGACTGAGACTGAAGGATCTTTTCGAGAGTTCAAGGTCAACCTGTACTTTAGGCTGGTTTTAAACTTGCTGTTTAGCCCAACATGGCCTCAAACTCACAGTGATCCTCTCACCTCAGCCTCCCAAGTGCTGGGGGGATACAGGTGTGCACCACCACACTTGGAGACTAAATGTTATCGTGTAAAGTTTTGACACATTTCTTTAGGAGAATTGGAGTTGGAGGTGCAATTTTAGCTTTGGATGGGCTGATGAATCTGGGAGATTGATAATATGTTTCCTAGCCAAGTGGGGTGATGCTGTCTGTAATCCCATTGCTCTGAGGTGCTGAGGCAGGAGAATTCCCAATTCCAGCCCAGCCTGGGCAATTTAGCAATTTAGTGATATGCTGTCTCAAAAAAAAAAACAAAAAACAAAAAACAAAAAACAAACACAACACAGCATGGCTGGAGATGTAGTATAATGAAATCTGTAAACTTAAATAATAGAAATACATACTGCTTCTTGGCTTTTTGCTAAGATCAAGTATAAACAGAAATAGAGTTTACCTGGGTGAGGGGAACATTTTATTTAGGATGTTATCTCAGACTTACCTCACAAGTTTAAAAACAAACATACAATTAAAACCTCTTGCTGGATGTGGTAGGTTGCCTGAGCAACTTAGATGTTGTCTCAAGACGAGATTTTTAAGGGGCTGGGGTACCTGCCTTGCAAGTGCAAGGTCCTGAGTTTAATCACACACACACACACACACACACACACACACACACAAAGATGAGATTTTTGAAAGGTCTGAGAAGGTGGTTGAGTGATAAAGTGCCTCCCTAGCATGTGTAAGGCCCTGGGTTCAGTCCTTGATATTGTAAAAACAAAATTTAAATAATTTTATCTCAACACCTCTACCCCCGTTCCTGTAGGTCACATCCTGGGAGGCCTAAGGAAAGATAAAAATGAAACTAAAGGTATTTTGTCTACTTTCAGGTCCCAGGATGGGAGTAATTTAATTAATATCCCTTGCAGGGAGGGGAGGCATTAATGAACTTAATTCACCTGTGCTAACATTGTGTCCTGAAGTACTGTAGCAGAAGCTCTTATTTTTTTGGTACTGGGGATTGAATTTAGGACTTTGGGCTTGTGAGGCAGGTGGCAGAACCACTGAGCTGAATCCCCAGCCCAGAAGCTCTTTATGTTATGAGAAAAGATGGGATTCAGTGTGGGTCTATGGAGAGCATTGTAAAGGAACACGACATGAGTGCAGCCATATTGACCTGTGATTCACCTGAGCAGTGTGGACGTGCCGTCGCTATAGCAATGGGCTAGTTCAGCTGGTGGTCTGATCTATTGCCTAGCAGATGTAACCCATAATGGTTGTTATTGTTTCCCTCTGGAATGTGTGGGCGGTACTCTCGCTCCCGTGCAGCCCTCGCTCCCAGGCAGCTGGAGAGTATAAAAGGAAGAGGTTCTGTAATAAAGCAAGCAAGGAACTTGAGAAATAAGGTGCCTCCAGTCTCTCTGTCCTCGTCCCTTCAGGTTTAGGACCTGCTGGCAGGATTCTGACGTCGCGGCTCGCGACATGGATCACCTGGATTAAGCCCATCAAAGTGAATACATTTTCTTTGTTTTGTTTTTGGAGACAGCTTCTACTATGTGGCTCAGCCTGGCCTTTAATATGCTCTGTAGTCTAGGCTGACCTCAAAATCATGATCCTCTGGCCTCAGCCTCCTGAGTACTGGAATATAGAAAGATCCTTAAGATCTTGACTGACTGAGATGTAAGGCAAGAATTTGTGCAATAATTTATCAATGTCTCAATAGAGAGGAATCCAATACCATTTCTTTGTTTGTTTGTTTTTCTTGGTACTGGGGATTGAACTAGGGTCCTTGTGCTTGCAAGGCAGGCCACCTAACTGCTGAGCTAAATCCCTGTTTGTTTTTTGATAGGATCTTCCTATGTAGTTCAAGCTGGCTTTGAACCGCCTATGTCATCTAGGGTGGCCTTGAACTCGTGATGATCCTCCTGCTTTAGCCTCCCAAGTGCTGGCATTACAAACTTGCACTACTATGCCTAGCCTTTGTCAGCCTTGGGACTTTAAAAACCTTTGTCATTGATAATTGTGCTCAAAATCCCAGAGAAATTGAGAGATGTTATGTGCTGGGCCAGGGATGCTCTGTAGGGTTTCCATGTCTGTTTTGTAAGGTATAGTAAAGAGCCCAGGCATTTTGGTCAGACAAGTCTAGATTTAAACCCTAACCCTGTTGTTGCTCACTGTGTGACCTTGGACAAGCCATATAGTTTCTCTTAAGCTTTAGTCCTGCATCTGTAAAAATGAGGATATATTAAGGAAGCTTCATCAGGGAGGTAGGAGGATAGATAGGATGGCTTGCAATGTGTCAGGCACCTCATACAGTACCTTGTACATAAAAAGTGAGCAGTAAGTGGTTACTTAGTTGTGCCTAGGTCAGTCATACTGTGCTGATCTAGGAAGCATGCCAGCTAGGGGAGCCCTTAAACAGCTTACAGCTGTTTATGGAGGCAGATGCTGCATTTATGGGGACAGCAGTAGAAAAATGTTTTTTTCTCCCTAGTACTGGTTTCATTGTCTTTTATGGTTTTAGAAAATGTTTCTCATATAGATTTGGGTCTTCTTTTTAGGGAGACCAAAGAAGGAGGAAAAATTATCGTGGAAATTGATGACAAAGTGGCAAAAGTCAGAAATATAAAGGTAAGCCTGAAAGTATTTTCCATTTGCTTTCCACTGGTGGGCTGATTTTAGGATTATGTGTATGTGAATGTGTTTAAAATGGAAAGGGAAGGAAAGAGCCTATAAGGGGAATTGTAGGAAAAGCTTGAACCATTTGTAAAGCAAATTAAAAAATAAGCCAAAAAATAAGGGCAAGGAATGTGGCTGTGGTAGCCTGTCTTAATCAAATGGGTACAGCTGTTTTGGAAACTGATACGGAGATGCTTTGAAAATAAACACAAAGGATGTTTTGGAGACCATGATGAGCTTAACTCATGCTATGGTCAGTGCAGTGTCTTATTTGCCTAGCTACGACTGTTTTAACTGATACCACTTAATTTTTAAAACATTTATTGTAAGAGTAGGAAAAATTTATTGAGGTTGTTCAAGCCAGTGGGAACGTGTTGAATTTGTAATCCTCTTGGATCAGCCTCCTGATTAGCTTGAATTGTTGGCATTATAGGCATGCACCACAACACCTGTGCTTCTGTGTGTGTGTGTGTGTGTGTGTGTGTGTGTGTGTGTGTGGTTTGTTTTGTTTTGTTTTTGGTACTAGGGAATTGAACCTCTGGACTGAGCAAATAGCTTTTTATTTTGATGCAGGGTCTCACTAAGCTGCTAAGTTGTCCAGCCTGGGTTTTCAGAGTGCTGGGATCACAGGGATGTGCCACTGCAGCTGGTACTTCTATAGTTTTTGAAAAATTGGTATCAGGCTTGTCTTCCCTGTCTGGAGTCTGAATTTTTTTTTTTTTTTTTTTTTTTTTTTTTTTTTTTTTACTGTGGATTTTTTTTTTTTTTGAGACAGGGTCTCAGTATTAATTAATACTGACCTGGAACTCACTATGTAGCCCAGGCTGGTCTTGAACTCACAGTGATCCTCCTGTGTCCAACATGGTTTCTGCTTTGCTGGGAGTGGATAACCCAGAGGACTCTGAAAGTTGAAGGCTGAGTCACCCCATCAGGCTCAGGGGCTGAAATACTCATGCACTCCCAGTATTCTCTGTGGAAATAGAAAAATGATAGTGGTGAAGATGTCCAAAGAGAGAGGCTTTTTATTTAACTCCAAAACATCCCTGTATGTCAGTCTTTTATATGGCTGGTGCAAGTACAGACAGTGTGATAGACATATGATAGATTGTTTAGTTCTCTGGGACTTTGTATCTAATGAGATTGAGACAGAGGCCACCTTTTTTCTTGGGCATATATCATAAACATTCCCATGACCAGTCCAGGTCTCTCTAATGGTATTAGTCACATTTCTGTTGCCGGGACAAAATACCTGACATACACAACTTAAAGGAGAAAAAGATTATTTTGCCTTGCAGTTTTCAGAGGATTCAGTCCATGGTTGACTGGCTCCAAAGCAAGGTACATGGTGGAAGAAGAGTGTTCACCTTAGACCAACCAGGAAGCAGAAATGGGAAGGGGCTGAGATAAGAACACACCCTTCCAGGTTATGTCCCAGTGACCACCTTCCATAAATACAGACCTCAACTCCTGACAACACGTTCAGCTATGAACTTGGCAAAGAGTTACTCTGTTGATGGTGGTTAATGTCCTTGAGATCAGCAGTTACCTTCCGGAAGCTCCACCCCCTTTGAACACTGGAGCCTTTTGGGGAACACTTAGATTTAAACCCTAAAACTTGAATAGTATAGAGTAAACAAATGCCACTAGGCAATATCTGATATTATAATACTGGATTCTGTGTTTAATTTTAGGTGGACAGTCGACCTGACAGCTTTGGAGACTCCCGGGAGAAGGTTGTAGCATTCAGCTTTGATTACTGCTACTGCTCAGTCGACCCAGAGGACCCTCAGTATGCATCTCAAGATGTGGTAATGTCATTTTCCCTTCGTTCTCCTCAGTCCTATTTTTTTGTATATATACTGGGTAATGAACCCTGGGGCCTTTGCACTGAGCTACATCCCCAGATAGAGCTACCTCCAGATCATTTACTTTTTTATTTTTGAGTGAGGTGTCTTATTAAGTCACTAAGTTGACCAGGCTGGGCTCAAACTTGCGATCTTCCTGCCTCAACCTCTTAAGAGTGCTGGGATGACAGGCATACACCCTGACACTTGGTTTGTCTGATCTTTTTTAAAAATATATTTATCATAAACATACTTTTCAGGGTCATTATGACACAGTTGCACAGATTGGAAGTATTCTAATTGGTACTTAAAACTTAAAAAAAATTTTTTTTAATACAATCTGCCAGGTTTTTAAAAAGAAAAATTTCAGTACAACAAAAGCCCATTGGCCTTTTCAAGTATTATTTGTATGGTCATGTTAACGAAAGAAACTTATTTCAAATGCAGTAATCTCATCGTACATTTCCTCAGTTCTTCAAAACTGGATGATAACTGATAATTTAGCATAGAATCTGGGTCCTGGCCATTTCTTAATTGAAATATTTTGGTCAGAAACTAATGATGTTTTGGCCTAAAAAAGGTAATGAGAGAACCCAAAGGAGGTGGGAAAAGACTGCTTGGTCAGGGCATGGAATTGGCTAGTGCTCATGTATGCTTGGGTCTCAGCATGATTCTAGCTTGTAAGTTAGCTCAGGTGGTATTTTGATCTTGTGATAATGAATGTGGCTCACCTCAAAGATAGCCTTGAATTGTGTGCATGGACGATGGGCTGGGAATCTTAGATTCTAGTTGTTTTTTGAGCTTTAGGACTGAACTTGTGCTCCTAAGCAGAGGGTGAAAGGGCTAGACACTAGTCTGCCAGTTGGCAAGGTATTCTACTGATTTGCTGCCTGGGCATTGAGGGGTCCAACCAAGGAATTGTCAGCTGAGCTTTTGGTCATCCTTGTGTGTGTGTGGGGTGCACACATGAATGTGTGCCAGCATGTGTATGTGTCTGTTTTGATTTATTTTTGTTTGTTTTGGTTTTTATTTTTATTTTAATTTTTTTTTTTTTTTTGGTTTTTTGAGACAGGGTCTCACTATGTAGCCCAGGCTGGTCTCAAACTCACGGTGATCCTCATTCCTCAGCCTCCCAAGTGCTGGTATTATTGGCATGCGCCACCAAGCCCTGCTGTGTTTGTTTTGAGACAAGGTCTCACTGTATAGTTCAGGCTGGCTTTGAATTCACTGTGTAGACAAGACTGATTAAGAACTCACAGTAAGCTTCCTGCCACAGCCTTCTAAGTGCTGGGATTATCACACCTGGCTGGTCATCCTTCTTATACCATTTAATTCTTAGCTCTTCTCTACTCCGAAGGCAGCTGGTAGCCTCACCACTAGGTTTATAGGACCTCCATGTTTCCAGGAAGCAGCAGTATCCTCTTGGTTTGCACAATTTTACAGTCACAGATGATAACACTCACCCCAGCAGCCACCAGGGTACTCTAAAGTTAAAAAAGAGCATATATTTGGCCTTTTATTTTCAGTATTAGTGTGGTTACATATGAAAAAAAAAGGGTATAGGAATGTGTCCTGAGGAAACACGATTGGAAATGGAAATATTTTGGGGGAGACTTGGACAACCACTGCCTTTATGTGTATGTACTTTTCAATAACAAGTCAGTGTCTGGAAAAAAAAAAGCCAGTGTCTGTTTTTTTGGAAATTTTTAGTCTTTTGTGGAACTTCTTATCAAGTCTTTGTTACACAGGGGAGACCACACTGATTTTCTGCCAACACAGAATGCTAATAGTAATTGCATAGTTCTAAACTGTGGAAGCGATCCCTATTCTCCCCTTCCATGGGGGAGCATATAGAAAGAAGACCGTAGGTCTCTGGGGTCTCTTGTCTCTGTGGACCCCTTTTGTTGTGAGTGGACCACCTTCATAGTCTTGATGTGTTTGCTGTAAAGACTCATCAGAAGAGGTAAGGTGGATATTACCTGACCCCTGTCCAGTCTTCTTTGTCCTTTGGGATATAAGGACACTGGCAGGTCTAGGCTTGAGTTTTATCCCAGCAGTTGATGTGTTTGAAGTATCTGGTTACTGGTATTAGTAGCTTTTCCATTGAAATCTTCCAAGAAGAGCCAGGAAAGGAACTGACTGTCAGTAAGAGAGGATGGGATTTCTATAGCAGGATACCACTGTGACTGCATTTGTGACAAAGGAGATAGTAGTCTATTAGCAGAAAGTATGAGCATTCTGATAGCTGTTTCAGACCTCCCTGGCCATGGCATACCAATCAGTACCTGTAATAAAGAAGAATTAGCTATTTTATGTAACATTTGATAAAACTAATTTTGGAGGGATGTATATATGTTAAAATATATGTGTTATTAACAAGCTTGGATATGAGTTTTGGTGCGGCTCATGTTTTACATTTATGTAGATTAATTGTCCGAGTAATCTAGTGGAGACCCAAAAGACAGGAAAATTCATAAATATGATTCTTCTGTTTTGAAAGCTAATGAAAAGTTCAAGTGGGATCAGACAGGAAGCCTGTGCAAAGAGATAAAACCATTGTCTCCTGAGATTTTTTCTGGCTTGTTTATTGGTCATCTGAGTCCCTCATCAGTTCCAGGAGCAGTGAGGATAGTATAGAGAAGGAAGGGACTCTGCTATAGGCTGGAGTAGGGCCAAAGGGCCCAGTGTGTCAGGACTCGACGCCAAATGATTTAGTCAGGGGGCTTCATTACTTTAACATAGAAATCAAAGCCTGGATCGACACTAATTGCCATGGGTCTGGGGTCACCAGGGATAGGAGAGACAGCATTTCATAAAATAGTAGAACTTGGAAGTGAAAGAGTTTAGGTATTATCTATATATCTCCTCTAGAGGATTAGTGATCACATTTGGTGAGAAGAGTTAGTATTATTGAAGTATAATTTAGATATAGTAAAGTTCATCTTTTATTGTACAATGTGTAATTCTGTGAGTTTTGACAAGCACAGGTATGTTCCTTCATGGCTACATAGTCTCTTTCCCACCCCATCCCTTTGTAACTTCTGATCTGTTTCCTGACTATACAGTTGTTTTGCTTTGTTCTATTTCTGACCCTCTGGTTTTGTCTGTTTTACAACATCATATAAACGGACTCACAGTGTATAACTGTTTTGAGTTAAGCTTCTTTCAACTAGTGTGATGTGTTAGAGATTAATCTCTGCTGTGGTATATATTACATCTTTTTCTGACCTTGATTCAGACTTTTTTTTTCTCATTGAGTTTATTGGTACATTTTAGGTATACAGTACAGTTACATTCATCGTTGGGATCTTGTACCTTTACATGACAGGTCTTGGTTCTCATTTTTTACCCTTATCCCTGCCCTCCCTTCACCCCCTTCTCCCCCCCCCTTTACAAACACTTTATTTCCATTTTTTCATTTTCTCATTTTTTTTTAGCCTTTTCCCTTATTTCCTTTCCCCTACCCTTCCCATTTCCCCTACACCTTTATTCCTTTTTTTTCCTATTTCACATTGTCAGTTATATCATTAGGATCTTATGTACCATTATAGTTTTTCACACCAGAGAAACTATTCAGTATTTATACATGTGTGACTTAACTTCAGACTTACTTAAATCATCTTCTCACCTAAATGGACTTAATGTGGTTTTGGAAGCATTGATTCTACCTGCAAAACGTGGGACCAAGTCCCTGGAGGTCAGTGTTTCTTTGATCCCTGGATCCCTTATTGGTGTAAAGGAAAGAGTTCTTCACCCTTAGAAATGTAACATTGTGTCAGTAGTGCACAGTGGTGCACACCTGTAATCCCAGCACTCAGGAGGCTGAGGCAGGAGGATCATTGTGAGTTTGAGGCCAGCCTGGGCTACATAGTGAGTTCCAGGCCAGCCTGAACTATATAGTGAGACCCTGTCTCAAAAAACCAAAAAAAAGGAAAAAAAGAAATACAGCACTAATTGTAGATATCCAGATATTGTATCAGAGCAAAGTATCTAGTGGCTAGTGAGGAACAGCCAAATGTCTGGCTTTAGGGAGATTTTGAGTAATACCATAAAGGGCCATTCATAGATGGATATTGATGAGAATGTCACCTGTTCAGTGTTGGTGCTGCCTCATTATAGTTTATTGGTTTGTTAGAGCTTGAAGGAAAATTAGTAATCTGGGCTAGGGTTTCTGAAGCTCAGCACTTGACATTTTGACCATGTAATTCTTGGTTGTGGGGGTCTGTCCTGTGCATTATAGTGTATTTAACAGTATTCCTGGCCTCTACCCACTAGATGTCCATAGAAGTCCCTCAGTTGTGACAATCAGAAATATCTTCAGACATAGTTTATTCTAGGCCATTCCCCTGGCTTTACCAATATAGCTCTGTAACTTCTGCAGGTCATCCTGGCAGTTACTGCACAAACAGGCCAGGAACCTGTGCTGCCTTTCCTTTGTATCATTTTATATTCCTCTTTGTATGTTTATTAATAGTCTCAAAAAATAGTTTCAAAGTTAGAATTCCTTAGTGTGCTGTCACTTCCAGTCCTTAGTGGTGACATACCTAAGTAAATAGATCAGGTGTTGGGCCAGGGATTTGGCTCAGTGGTTCTGCTGCCTGCCTCGCAAGTGCAAGGGCCTGAGTTCGATTTCTGGTACCAAAAAAAAAAAAATCAGGTGTCAACAACCACGAATCACTAGAGAGTAAGCCAGCCAGTTAAAGTGCTACTGAGTGGCAGTTTTATTTGTTAAATACCTGTTGATGGCAACATATACCTTAAATGTTTATCATTTTATTTAATTTATATTAAACCTGCATTACTTAGCAGCACAGCGGTTGGTCCTGAATTTGATCCCCAGAACCAAAACAACCACAACAAACCTATATTACTTATTCCATTTTATAGATAAGGAAACTGAAACTCAGAAAGGCCAGCCTAAACTACATAGCAGACCCTGACTCAAACAAAAGAAGTCACTTACC